GAAGATCATATCATACTTACTCTATATAAATTTTCTACACCAGACCCAACCGAATTGAAAGAACTTTAATTCAATCCAATTGAAAGCATCCCTTTTTGAAAATTCATTTTTATAAAAATGAGAAGTGAATTTTAAAATATCCAAATTTAGAAATAGAAAATTGTTTAAAATTGAGGTATTTTTTTTTTTAACACATAAGGGAAATTTTATTGAAAATTGAAAGAATGGTTACAATGCGAAAACAAGAAAGAAAGCAGTAAAAAAAAGTGCAAAAGGGAAAGGGGGGAATGAAGGAAAGCAAGGAAATAAAGATAGCTAGACCCAAGGGAACTGCTTAGATTGTGATCTAGTTCGCATGCTATGTCTCCGTTTGTTCTATTGGGATTTGCGGTAGATTTTGAGTTGTGTATTTAAGTTATCAGTCGGAAGGCAAGTGTCCTGGGTGACAAATTGAGATTTATAGCAAATCTCTCTGTTGAAGTTGGAATCCCGGATGTCGTTCTGGTTGGAAATTGGCAGTCGACGATCACTTTCTGTTGCGTGCCCTAGAAAGTCGTCTGAAAAATATGAGTCATCAGATGGATCGAAACTGTCTGAGGCGTCTGAGTAAGCTTGACTCAGAGGTAGCTTGTGATGTTTCTCAGAAGCTTGAGACTGTTTTTTCTCTGCGTAGGCTTCCTGAATTTGAGAATTGAAAATAAGTTTGGAAATTGATGTGAGTTCCTCTGTGGCTGCCTTGGATTCATGCTCCAGATACATTGATTCCTCCTACATTGAATCAGAATATCCCACAAAAGTTGAAAAAATGGCAAGAAATTTGAGCAGTTTGGATTTTAGTGGACCCGTTGGAATCAAGATGAAACTTCCCTTTTCTTTAGCAATTCTGATGAAGCTACCCGATTTGTTGAATTCTGAAGAAAATGTGATTAGACCAAATCTCCGTTGCTGCCGAAAATCTTGGTTAAATCCTGAGAGCTGAGTAATAAATGGGATGATTTGTGGAGCCAAATTCAAATGGAAACTAATCTTGTTCAACATAGATCTGTTGAACTCAAAAATAGCAATTTCATTATTTTTTATTCCAAGTTTAAAAAGTTTGGACTGAATTCTGATTGTGTCAAACCCTTCTTCCCCAAAGAATTGAAAGTTTTCTGAGTTGGCGAGGACCGCTGGATCAGTATGGATTATTTGTCTTGGTGGGATATTTCGATTAAGTGAACAGACTTCTTTTGAGTTTGAGTACGGCCATGTGATTGAGAGGGGTGGTACATCCAGCATATGGGTTATTTTATCCTTATCAATGCGAGGCTTATCAACCCATGTCGATAGTGGCAGGTCTGTGGCTAAAATTTTTATTCCCCAAACCACCGTCGCAACAGGAAATATTAAAGAAGGGGAAATAATTAAGGGTAAATGGGTAATCTAGTCTTATTTGGGGAATAAAAATTTACATAGTCCTATTTTGGAATTTCAGGAACAATTTAGTCCTATTCCAGGCAATTTGTCTTTAAAATTCTCTCATCCTTGAAATTTCTAGTCTGATTGAGAAGATAACAATCACTAATGGAGACGGGGATGGTAAGAAAATGACTCGTCTTCATTTTTTTTTGCAACAATCTCATCTTCATATTATATATTTAAATATGAACCATTATTATCCCCGTTCCGTCCCGCACCGTGCCCACTCCTAGGCTGAATGTTAAAAATATACTCTGTATATACTCCTGGGTTGTCCCGGTACTGAACCCGTTTTATAATAACGGTTCGGAACGGGACGGGACAAGACGTTGTCCTTTTGTTGTCCCATTTAAACCGGTGCCGGGAAAAAACGGGACGGTTCGAGACATCCCAAAAAATGTAGTGAAAAAATTGCAATCCCAAAAAGAAAGCTAAGCTATTTCAAAAAATTTAAAAAAAAAACAGTGCAAGAAAACTCTATGACAAACAACACTATAGCTAATCTAGAAAATTGTGAGAAAAAATACAACTTATCATATTAGCTGCATGAAACAAAAGTTGCAACAAAAAAAAAACTCTAACACAAAAATCTATCAAGAAATCTGTAAAAACAAATGATAAAAGAATATTATACGAAGTGTAGCTAGATGATAGTTCATAGTATGTGATACTAGGTAATTTAGAGTTTTTTTAGGTGTTTTATTGTTAAACTAGTATTTTAATAATCATTTTGTATTTCAGCTGTGAAAAATAGATAATTATTATTATTCGAATTACTCAATGAGTTGTTGGTAGACTCACTAACCTACTATAAAGTACAATTTTTTATTCGGGACAACGGGACAGAACGTGATATATTTTACTTGTCCCGGTCCTGTTTTGTTTTAAAACGGTTCGGGACCGGTACGGGACAAAAATAATGTGTCCCAAATATAACGGGACAATTTCGGAACAGAACCGGAACATTCCGGAACGGACCAACGGGGCCGGGTCTTTTGCCCACCCCTAATTCAGCCCATGATACTAAGCTTTTGGCTCCTTCAACGATAACAATTAAGTCATCTTAAATTTATATTCAGGAAAATAATACTTTTAGTTCCTGAAATAGTCACCATATTGAAATGTCAGAACTGTATTCTTAAGTTTGTAAACTTTACTCCTCAATTGTTTAAATCGATGTAAATGTGGTCCTTTAGGAGGTGAAATGTACAATGTGGCAATGAGTACATTTTAACCCTCAAAGGACCACATTTACAGCAATGTGGATAATAAGTCCACATTTACGTACAATGTGATAACTTATTGTAAACTTTATAATATACACAAAGAATGTATTCTTAGATTAATTTTTTTTATTGTATTGGATGTGTTTTTATTTTTTTGTGACACTTGATAAATGACTTTGATTGCGATTCATTAAAATTATTTGAATATCAATGAAAAACTTGTGAAATTTGCATGTAAATGCCTTCTTTTGGTGTAATATATTTAATTGTACATTTAGAGCACTAGTGAATATACCGATAGTTATTTGTTGTTGTGAATGCCCAAATTGCTTCGGCTGTTCCTGAACCGCCGCAATATGTCTAAAAATCTAATGGTTATTTGCTGCGGTCGTTGGACAACCGCAGCAAAAAGTTTTTTTTTTTTTTTTTAAAATTGAAGCTTTATTTGTTGCGATCGTTAACCGCAGCAAATAGTCAAAAACACATTTTGTCGCTCCTTCAATCGTTGCGGTTCAGAACTACAGCAATTGTGTGAAAATGACCGTAGCAAATACACTTTTTTCTAGTAGTGCACGATTGTAGATAGAGGCTAAAGTAAAGACTCACTCTTTTTAGATTTTCAAACAAGCTAGTGATGATCATCATATATGACAAGATCATCCCCACACGAATTGATATCACAAGTTTGTCATTATGGGTCTCATCTCTCCAACTTTGTTATATCCAGAATTCATATAGTAAGACCAAAGAGAAGATCCTTCTTTCCATATCCATCACCTTTTAAATTAAAAGGATATTTGAATGTTGAGTAAGGATGTTCGAGTGATATTTGTTTTTACCGTCACGATTGTTCGAGAAAAAATTGTCATTTTCATGTTTAAGATGCTAATAATTTTCATGGAAAGTTCGGATTTACTTCGGAAGTAGCGAGGTAATTATTTGTAATAGTAGATAAAATATGCTTAATGAAAATCAAACGACACTTTCATTAATGTTATTTTCTTCCAAGAGTTGGGTTTATAATCAAAGTGATCAATTAAATTGTAACAATAAATAAGTTTATCTCTTGTAATTCCGTTATGAATAAAGACCCTCGGACCATTAAAAGCAGGAGAAGTGACTTTCATACACAAAATCTCTCTCCCCCCACCTCTCCCTGAGCGGAACAACCTTATTCATGGTTGCTACTCTTATTCAGATTCACAAGCTAACACATAGAATACATTTTAGATTACTTCATGAGATTCAAAATATATTAGTTTTAAGATTTTATTACCAACTTTAACGTTTACTTTAATTTTCAACTTTAACCTTTCAATCTTTTCTCAAAAAAAAAAACTTTAACCTTTCATATAGCCTGTTTGGTAATTGATATTTTTCAGCTTATCAATTTTACGAGTCAAATTTTTATCAACCACATAACTTTTGTTTTTGCACGCTAAATTTCATAATAATCAACATGAGCAAGCAATATGCTACTTTTGTTATTGAGTTGACTGAAGTTACTTCATAAGATCATTGCCCGAAGTTACTTTGGTTACTTTTTATTTAACCATCATTAAAAAATAATTCAAATACAATATTTCCATAAGTCAGCAAATTAGTGAAGATCATGATCGAAGTAAGTCGATTCAACTATAATTTCATCGGTTCCAACAAATTCAAGTTCAATCCATTTAACCGATTTACCAAATGGGCACCAAGAAATACGAAGTATGATTTAAAGTATGCCAGATTAAATGATTAATTAAAGTTATTGGCCTGAAGTGTTTGATCCGGTCCAACTAGGAAATCACAGGCCCAAGATCTGGAAAAACCTAACCCTACATCCGCTTAGTCGATTATCGCTATCTTCTTATTTTATCGTCTCTTGTTTCGTTTGTTCTCCATCAGTGGTGAATAGGTCAAGCTTACAGGGTGTTGTTCAAGTTCGTTCTTCATCCGTTCGTTCACTTTCCGACGTTGTGTTTTTGCACACTGTATGAACATGGAGTGTATTTGATACACATTTTATGCATTTCCGAAATGTTTCGGTCCATCTGTCTTGTTGTTCAGTTTTTGTACTTACATATATCTGATAATTGTGGTAGTGGTTACATTTTTAAAAACATTTTGTGGACAAAGTTATCATTCTTCCATTACATCTCATCTCTAAAATTGCATATATATCTAAGTTTAAATCACCGGTAGATAAATGGAGATTGCATCTCTTTTGGTTGCTTTTCTCTGCATCAACTAACCCTTTCTTTTATTTGATTCAAACGGTTATTTGTCTGTTATTTCACTTATTTCTCTTACAAGGTTGGGATTTATAAGGGTATGTATATTATGTAACATGGGAAATCTTTATAAAAAGGTATATATGCATCATATTTTAAAAGCTATACACTAAACTATATATAAACATTTTAAAACCTGTCTAGTAGTCTGAACTATGGACCCATTCACGCCTCGTATATCCTAAATTTTGAGCTTTGTTGTTAAAAAATGTTTTCACTTTGATTTTTATTCAATTTTTTTTTGATTGATTTCAGTATACACACATGTATCCTGAATTTGGGGTTTGTTCCCCAACACACAGTATACACACAGACGTATACGCACCCAGACACACAAACATATCCTTAATTTCTATTTCATTGCCTATATAAAGGTTATGCATTCAAAGGCATGTTTAGACAAATGTATTTGATTTGATTAATCCACCTATAAATTTGATTGTGTTCATCTACCTCATTCAATCTTCATTTATTTGATTCATTACTTAACCAACCGTGCCTGATTATTCCCCTATTGATCCACACAATCATATTTTCATTTTTCTCCAAACTGTTGAAATCATTTCCTGCATAATGTATTTCTCACATTCTTTATTTGCTTGTTTTGTTTATATGAATTTGCGTATTTCTTTTTTATTTGATTCATGCAAATAAAAATCGTGGGATTTGTATTTTGCAATTATGTTCGACTTGTTTTACATGTTTTAGTTTCAGAATGTTGTTTTACTCGTTGATTGCAATGCCATTTTCAATTTATTCTCACTCTCTAAAATCATTGAAACAATTGAGAATGTTTTTTTACTTCAAGTACTTGTTTGAATCTGAAATATTTCCTATAATATTCCCTTGCCCTTTTCTGTTATCCCTGTGAAATTTACTTATGTACATAAACAAATGAAATACTACATGGCACGTATTATCCCTGATCAATTATTAAATTGTTTCACTTTCAAGAAGCAGTTATGAGTTATGCTTAGAACTTTATAGTTTGTGACACTTATGATACAATTGATTTGTTACTGAAAATATTGTGAATTTAAAATCCAATGAAACAGACATCTGCTGATCAGTAGAGCTCTACAACAATGTCAGGGAAGCCAAGGGCAACCGGGAAAGATGAAGTTGTGACCAGAGAGTACACCATCAATCTCCACAAACGCTTGCATGGGTGGTACTCTCTCTATACTTTATTGTAGTTTTGAATATCTCTCTGCATCTGTTGCCCAATCTGTTGCATAGAACTTAATTACTAGCTATTGGTTTGTATCCTTTAATTAGGATTATATCCACCATAAGTTTGAAAGTAGTAGTTTTTTCATTTTTTGTAGTTACATGTAGGCATGTAGCTTGAAAAAATGTGTATTGTGTGCATGTGGATGGGCGATCCTTTATTATCTTGAATCCTCCGTTTCTTAAGTGTAGAGTATCGATTTATAATGTTGACTATAGTAATGCTCTTTAACACATGCACGGATATTGGCAGTCTCTATCCTTCTAGAATCATGAAATTCAAGTGAAATGCTACTTGCTTATTATTATTGTTATAAAATACAATACTATGTAGCAATTTGTCCGCTGTATGCCTTCCGTAGTATCATTATGCTTTGTCATACCTAAGTTTCCCTCTCCTATAAGTTACATTTTCCGTTTGGTAGAGTTGCAAACCCCATTTCTCCATCCACATTGGTAAAGTTGCGTCTGCTAGACGGAGATATAGCTTTTGACTATTTTGAATAGAATTGATTTAATGAAATCCAATGTCCTTTTTGTATTGTAAGCACATTCAACAATTCCAACTAAGTAACTTGTTCCAAACGGGCCCATAGTGTACAAAAACATAGGCACATAGTAGTCCTCCCTCATTTGATCATTTCTTACTATGTGGCAGCTGTGAGTGTTGCAGTTCATATGATCTCAATTATATGTGATATTATTTGCAGCACCTTCAAGAAGAAGGCACCCAAGGCAATAAAGAAGATAAGGAAGTTTGCTCAAAAAGCAATGGGGACAACAGATGTTAGGGTTGATGTGAACCTAAACAAACAGATTTGGAGCAAAGGGATCCGAAGTGTGCCGAGGAGGGTCCGTGTCCGAATTGCAAGGAAGAGGAATGACGATGAAGATGCCAAGGAAGAACTTTACTCACTGGTTACTGTTGCTGAGGCTCCAGAGGGACTTAAGGGCTTAAGACTAAATTTATCTCTTCCAGTTTTGGCTGTTGTCCTTTCTCAACTACTATCATTGAGTGTGTTGTCATTTTGATTTTTAGACTTGACAAATCATCGTATGTGTTAAAGACAAAATTTGTACTCTTTACTAGTGTATGCTTAAACAATGATATGATTAATAATAGTCTGGTGGGTGTAGGATGGCGGAAGGGTGGGGGTAGAATGGCGGTACGAGGGTGGGGGTAGAATGGCGGTACGAGGGTGGGGGTAGGATGGCGGTGGGGTGGGGTCGAGGTAGGGGGCATGTGGCAATGGGTAATAGGTAATATACGGGTGGGGGTAGGGTAGGGTGGGTCGGGGTAAGGTCGAGATGGTAGGGGGGTGGCGGTAGGGTAGGGTGGATCGGGGTGGGGCCGAGGTAGGGGGCATATGGTAGGGGGTGGGGTAGGGTCATTATAGGGAAAAATGGGTACGCGGGTTGGGGTTGGGGTTGGGGTTGGGTGGGTAGGGTAGGGTAGGGGTAAGGGGTAAGGTATGAGGATGGAGGTACTGGAATGGAATCGACATCGGAGCGGGACCGGACCCACCACTAGGTGTAAGTGTGCAAATTCATTGCAGCGGCACTGTAGCATCTGCGTTTTCCAAATTTGGAAAACTAGTAAAAGTCACTTCTCCAAATCATTAAGGAAAATAGAGACACGTCTCATTTTTTCCGTTTTGGAAAACGATTTGGTAAACGCGTTTTTCTTTTTTCTTTTCTCCAGTTTTCCAGCAATTTCTTTGGTAAACATGTTTCCTGTTTTCTGTTTTCCAGTTTTCCAATTTTCTGGAAAACTGGAAAATATCTTTGTTAGTAAACAGATCCTTAGCTTTTGTTTTTTGTCAAAAAAGAAGAAAGGAAACACATACGTAGGAATGTTTGACAATGCAGTGTACATACTGATCCCCGGATGAATATGAATACCTGCTCTAATCCCTACACGAACACCCAAAAGGCAATGTGAGCTCTAAACACAATATTTGGTTTAGCTTATTAATCCACACTATGTTAGATAAATAAATGCTCAACTGCTCAAGTACTATCGTATTTCGTATATGTGATATACTATGTGCAGTGAGGGTTAGACCCATGAATAGAGGTGTTTATCTATATGCCCCATAAACGATTCTAGTTTCAGGACAACTTTTTGGTCAGGTTGTGTGCGAGGTTGTACCGGAAAGAGAGAGTCATGAAGTGAAGATATAGATTTGTGAATTAACAAGTGAAATTTTCTACTCTATCTTAAATATAAAAATTAAGTCATAATCTTTGAGACTTTGATTTGTAATGAGTTACAATGCCATAATAAATCAAAGAGGTATTTCAAATGCTTTAGAGCATCTCCAATGCTCTTCTTTTGAAAGAATCAAAATTTTGCCAAATGTCAATTATCTAGAACTATGTCTATCCACATCAATTACACATAACAAGTATTAAATATTAGTTCTCCAATGCACGAAGTTAATAATATTAAATATTTATTAATGTTTTACATTATAAGAAGAAGTTGAACAAAAAAGCTAAAAATTTGGGCAGCCATTAATTGCCTACTACGCACTTCCTTCCAACCCATATGAAAAAGAAACAAATTTGCATGGTTACACTAAAATCTCGTCATCTCCGTGCAAGTTTTTCTGGAATTAAACGTATTGTTCTTAATTATGGCTGACTCACGCTGTTAAACACACTTTGGAAATTCCAACAGAAGGGTCGAAAGCTTTTCCTCCATGTCAGCATAAAAGAATTCACAAAAGAATCCATTGGAGACGGAATTATTATCACTCTTTTAAAATTCATGAGGTGACAAATGTTTAACAATGTCAAAAGAAGAGCATTGGAGATGCTCTTACATGTTCCATATTTCATGGGTTTAATCGATGACTCTAGTTACACCCTTGGACGGGAGATAACGATTAAGTAAAAAAACTGAATGCTCTTTTTTAGAGAAGTACGTCATTTTTATTTATAATCGTGAACTCGTTTTTATTTATATTTAGGATAAATTCTTTTGATGTAAAACATGCTATCACCTTTAGAAGGATTTTGAACTATAAAATAGATTTTTTTTTATACATCGGAAAGGATAACTGTAAAATAGATTGGATAGAACCGGTGGAGGACCTAAGGGGGGCTAGGTGGGGCATGTGCCCCCACTTCGAGCCCGGAATTTCACTAGTAGTATTTGGGATAAAAACGGGTGTCCCGCCTTCATACCAGTATTTGATAACTAAGATACTAAAATGTCACGGTTATATAAATAAAAAATTAATACAAAATATTTAAATTCTAGTTGAATTAAAATAAAAGATATAGAATTATCAAAAAACAAAAAATAATTAATAATTGAAAACAAAAAGTAACAAAAAAAGTTTAAATGCAAAAAAGTAGCCAATGTGCGGGCAACTAAAAGTACGGAGTATTAAAAGTCTAAAAACTCACTAACAAGACTAGAATGATAAAACATAAGTTCTCCAATTTCTGTGAGTCAAAGCTACTGAACCTTGCGGAGTTATATTTATGCAATTTTTCATTTGTTGATCGAATGGAGCTGAAAGAGCAACTCCAGGTGTGGATATATGAAATGAGAACAAATGAGTTATTTTCTGCCGTACAAAAACTATTGGTGAAGTTTTGAATTGTAAAAAGATAGTTGAGCTTAAAGTTCACAATTCTTTTCACTTGATATATTGTCTGATTGAGTTGGCTTTAGTGTAACTTCTTTTCGATGAATATTATCGAGATAGATCTTCACAATAAGATGAGAGATGACTATCTTAAGGATTACTTGGTGTGCTACATCGAGAAAGATGTTTTTAGAAGCATCGATAATGAACTATTATGCAACATTTTCATAATATGAAAATTCGTAGGCTCGATTTACCAAAGTTGCATCAGTGATCTATTTAATATGTAATTAACTATTCTGTATAATTTAATACATTTTTGAAACATCTTTATTACATTTGGAGTTTTTATTATAGACTAACTTTGGTGTCTAGTGTGCCCCGCTCTCACAAATCTCTGGGTCCGCCACTGTGACATAGAACTATTTACTCTACAACTTTACCATACAATCGTTAATTTATTCATGTAAAAAAAATTCATTAAGCATTCAATATGTCACACATCACTCATGAGAATTGAAAGTTCGAATTTATATTAAATTTATTTAGTACTACGTATGTAGTACTCCATATATTCCATAGTCTAAAAAGTTTATGAAAGGTAATAAGTTTAAATACCTTTCTTTCTTGCAAATATGTTCCCGTAAATATAACACATTTTATTTTAGATTTATGTAAACATGGTCTTTGATTTTCATTCTTGCAATATGTCATATTTTTTAGTCTATTTTAACTATGAGACCATCTACATTTAGAAAAAGAGTTAAGTGGGTCCCATAAATGTAAAAACAGTTTTTAAATTCATCATTTAAAAAAATTAGGAAAAAGTACGGAACATGTACATGTGGTTGGGGCCATTTTTAGATAGAGTCATATGTTTCATTTGTTATCAAATTGGTTCATGTGTTTGAACGTACTCCGTTATCACAAGAGGGTCACGTTGTTAAAAACGTCTGAGGAAGACGGTGAACAGTAACTCCGCTTTTAAAAAATGGTTAGAAAATTAAAAGAAAAATTCCAGAATGTGTGTCTCGTTAAGATGACCTCCAAACCACCTTCGTCTTTGGATTTTTCATATCTGTTTGGATTATTTAAAAAATGAATTTGCTAATATCACTTTTCTGATGGACTTTCCGATGACAAGGGTGGTTGGAAACAAAAAAGATAGTCTAATGGTCGTCTTGTTGAGGTGCACCTCCCGATATTTTTCTTTTATTTTTTTGAACGTTTTTGAAAGTCGGAGTTATTGTTCATCGTCTTCCTCCAGTTATTTCTAATGGCGTGAGGACCCTGTTGTGATATCGGAGTTCAACCACGTGAATCACATAAATAAAAAATAAAACACATGACCTTATCCAAGTTAAAAACCGTAAAAGTAATCATTCATTGTTATTAAATAAGGATTAACCACACTCTGGAAAAAAAAAATATATGAGAAAGAATGAAAGTATACCTATTAATTCGTCATATAGAAATTGATATAATTAGTGAGTGGCAAAAAAAGTAAAATCATAATAAATTAAAAACTAAGACATATAGATGCTAAAAGTGTAAAACACATTTAAACGAAGTTTATATTATTATTTTGAGGGGTTTGTGGAATTTGTGTTAAATTTTTTTTATCATATTTGTGCTAAGATTTGGTAAATGTTATGTTCTTAAGACCAAATTTGAAACTCAAAATTTGGCAAATGTTATGGTCTTAAGACCGTGTTTGAAGCCAAACAAATGCGCATAATAATGATATAATCAGTAGAATTATCGATCGCAAGAAGAGATCGAAATGGAGAGCGCATGCGAATTTGTGGAGTTCCCGCAGCTGCCAACTCCAACAGAAACGAATTACAGGGCATGTACGATTCCTTACAGGTTCCCGTCTGATAATCCCAAAAAAGCTACGCCCACTGAGATTGCTTGGATTAACCTCTTCCACAATTCCATCCCTTCTTTCCGGTAACTCACACCTCTTTCTCAGTATGTTCGTCGCTTTCATTTTAAACAATAGAATAAAATTAAGCATAGTCCACTAGTATTTGCTGGCTTATTGCTTCTTTCTTCTCCCAATCGTCGATGAATGCAGAAAGCGCGCGGAGAGCGATGATTCAGTTGAGGATGCGCCATCTAGAGCAGAAAAATTTGCTCAAAGGTAGCATTCTTCAGTTTGTACGCAATATTTATGTTAATATTTTTAATGAGGATATGGAGATCAGGGAAATCATATCGAAAGAAGAGTTCTTTTGCATTGTTTAATACTTTGATGTATGTGATGCAATCAAAGGCAGAATACTGCTTTAGCACTTGCTCTCATGTAAATCTTTGTTAATAATTGTATACAAGTACGAGCTTTGCAGGCAGATAACCAAATGGCTACCTCCAACAAAAGCCTGCAAGTTTCACATACTGGGAAAACGAGCAAATTCTATTAAATCCACTAATTGGACCCTAACTCTAAGATTAATGAGCTACTTAGTACTTACTTATTTTGAAACATGACTATCCTCTTTTGTTCAAAGTCCTTAAATATGACTTAACATATGGTCCTCCTAAGTGAATAAAAAAATTGCCATTGTTTAAATGCAAGTATAACTTCCAACCGTTTTCATGTTTTTCTTTAAGGTATGCTGAAATACTTGAGGATTTAAAGAAAGATCCAGAGAGCCATGGTGGACCACCTGATTGCATTGTATGTCACTAGTCCATGCAATCAAGTTACCCTTAAACCCTTACATCGTTTCTTTGATCAGCATGATATGTGGTGTATTTATGAAGCTGTTTTCTTTCACTCTCTAAAATACATTTCAGCTTCTTTGCCGACTCCGTGAACAAGTTCTAAGAGAAGTGGGATTCAGAGATATATTTAAAAAGGTTAAGGTGAGCATAAGTATTCATTTATTGTGCTCTAGATTCTTAATGTGGAATTAAAGGGATGATATTTGGAAGAATAACTCCTTGATCTTGGAGAATGCCTACCTCGGTGCCTGACTTGTTTTGTTTTTAAGACTAACAAATTTAGTGATAATCAGTCTAAATCAAACAAATACGAAGTATAAGGTCATGCAAGTGATGCAACCCATACCAGATATTGTGGTAATTGTTATATGTCCCATTATATAAAGTAATAATTGCATGCAAAGCATATAGTCATTACTTATAATATACTCCGTACTTTGTAACAATTATTACTCTACAGTAAGTAATTCTTTGTAACACAAATGTGGATCATTATATAAATATTTATTAATAATATTACTTGGGGTATGCCTTTATGAGAGTCTTATTGTTAAGCATTTAATACTTTTATAACACAATCTGTACATCATTACATTTTAGTAGTATGACTATTGTTTATAATAATTCTTCCGCCCCGAATTGATTTGCAATTTGCGTTTTTTAAGGTGGAGTGACGATAAAGTTAAATCATCCCTGTGAATAGTAAATCAGGTTGATTGTGAAAAGTTACATATTTGAAAACTATGTTGAAAGTTCTATAATGTCACAAAATCCAAATGAGAAAATAATAAAAAATTGATATGCTAAATAAATAAATAAAATGGAACTGTGTTTACCAAGAAAACTTGACTTTGTAAATCATTTTGGGACGGAAGGAGTTCTATAAAACAGTGTACATCTCACATTTATAGCAAATCAGCAATGTACCGTTAATCTGTTCCAATTCGTTAAGACTTGAAGGTTTTAATGGGTAGGCTGGGTATTTGAATTCAACAATGCATTGGTCCAGCCATAGAATAAAGGGGTAGGATCATAATGGGCCTATCTAAAGTCTAAACCCAGTTATACATCAACAATTTTTCTTTATATAATTATATGTAATTATATAAATGCAGGTTTAAATTGTTAAACAATGTCATATATTGACATTTTTTGTGCACTTATGATTAAACTTGTTTATGTTTTTCATATTTGGGTGAGAAGAAACTTTATCTACGGAGTATATGTTAGTGTCTGATAGATAGATATATTATACAAATACATTTCATCTCTGATCAGATTTTACTGAATATATTACAAATATTAATGACTTAATTTTAAACTATGTACTTTCATATACAAAATAAATTTAGAAATGTTCTACCAACCAAAGCATGGCACATCATCTTAAAAAACTAGCTTTATAATATAATAAAGTGTAGAAGAGTTGAAATAAAGCAGTAATTCAAAGACTTGATTGTTTGTTTCATGATCTCGTGTTTGGGAATGCTCCAGGATGAAGAAAATGCTAAAGCTATATCATTATTTGAGCATGTAATTCGCCTTAATGATGCTATTGAGGATGAAGCTAAGCGCATTGAAAATTTGGTTAAGGGAATATTTGCAGGAAACATATTCGACCTTGGCTCTGCTCAGGTATGTGAGTCTTAGATATATACTATACACGCACAACATTTTTTTACTTTTAGGCTGACATGACTTTGTGCATATAACATTTATGCTGGTGATTGGTAAAGATGTTAAATACATATTAATAATGCATAAAGTAATGTATTGGAAGTGATGTATCCTTTATATTTTGTTGAAATGTTATAAAGAAGTCAAATAAGTGCTTGTGAAATCTTACTATCTCACATGTTTAACATCCTCATATTATCTTTAGGTGAGTGTGAATTAGGGGCACATGTTTTCTTAGTCCAAAGTGTGTTTTCTAGAACAAAGATGATATGAACATTATATAAATAAAGATGTAAGTGCTGTAAGTAAGATTGTTGCATATTCCAATTGTAAATGTTAATGACATCCCTTCTGGATTTGAAGTTTATGTTCCGTTGATATTTCAAAAGTTGGTTTGAGTTTTACTGACACATCTGTTTTCTTTTTTCAATACAAACAAATGTTGGATTTTGTCCACCCAACACATTTACACTGTTTGACTTTACAGATTTTTTCATCAACCTTGCACCGTTGGGTTCCTCCAACAATACTAACAAAAATCCGTTTATGTAGACTTTTACTGTGAGCCTTACTATGGTGAATTTTACTTCTTGCAGTGACCATGATATTTTTTTTGGAGTACACGTTTTACTTTTCCATCAATAATGCTTATCTTTGACCATATATAATGAAAGCTTGCAGAGGTGTTCTCCAAGGATGGCATGTCTTTTCTTGCTAGCTGTCAAAATATAGTTCCTCGACCATGGGTTATTGATGATTTGGATGCATTTATAATGAGATGGGGAAAAAAGGGTTGGGAAAAGGTGAACTTCCCATAATCTTTTGAACTATGAGCATTTACTTAATTCATTTCCGATGAAGTAAAATTGTATTTTCATATTTTCACTTTGTTATGCCTTTTCATCTGCTGATCAGAGTACTTCATGTACAGGCTGTAATTTTTGTAGATAACTCCGGTGCAGATATTATTTTGGGTATTCTACCATTTGCAAGAGAATTACTTCGGCGTGGAACACAGGTCATACTATAATTGTTGTTGTCTCATGGCTCCTAGATGTATGAAATGAACACCAATGCTTTTCTTTCTTTGCTCTAGCTATTTTCCCCCCTTTTCATTATACGATAGTACTATTTAGAACTTTGTATAATTCTTTTTTCTTTGACAATCTTTTCATGTATCATTAATTATATGGGTTGAACTTCATATGTGGCCATATGTTGGCTGTATGGTGATGATTGTCAGAGTATGTTACTGACTTACTGGTATCATTATGGGAATCTTATCTTGTATTGGCACATTGCGCAGACACTTCTGACAATGAGATGTAGCCATATAGGATGTGCACAACAACATTGGTTTGATTAATGTAGTGTTGCAATTGAATTGACAAATTTAAAAAGTTGCTTCTTTGAACACTCTAGCTCTTTAGTATCTATTTAGTCGTCGTTGTAATACACCTCTTAAAGTTAGGCAACCCTCATTTCCCAAATATTAATCTATGTTGATTCAAAAGTTTTCTCCTTAGAGATAGCAAGAGTAGTCACCTTGGTTTATTTACTTAAAGTATGTGCCTTGTGTGCTACTTTATTTAAATTGTGCATCAGTTGATTGGTTGTGAAAATGCAAGTCTCTAATGATTCTGTTATGGAGTGCAATGAGTAGTGCAAAAAACTTATTTCAACCTTTTGCTTTACTGGGCGCAGGTCATTTTAGCAGCCAATGACTTGCCTTCTATAAATGATGTAACTCATGCGGAGCTGATTGATATTATTTCCAAGGTGGCTGAACCACTATTCATGACCTTATTTCTGAACACTTGAGGTCTGATTTCACATGCTCACCACTTTGTTGTATTAACAGCTGAAGGATGAGCATGGAAAGCTTGCAGGAGTTGATACCTCCAATCTTTTGATTGTGAATTCTGGTAATGATCTTCCGGTAAGGAACAAACATTATTGTCTCTTCACAGGATCTCATATTTTCTATGCTTTTTGTTGTAATTAGGGGTGGCCACTGGTTTAGTTCAGTATCAGCCTGGCCCATCATGGTCGTACGTGCGCCTTTATCAAATATTGGGACCCACCACATGCCTCATTTAGATGTATTGCAGCTATGACTTTAAAGCTCCTTTAACTGAGCAACTTCAGAAATAGTTCTTATGGCCTTCATTGAAGTTATATCAGTTCAAGCGGGTTTTCCATTGTCCTAAATTTGCTAAATTGGACATTTCTATTCAACGGTTATGATAATATTACCATCCGGTTGTCATCTTGCATTGTTGAGCGAAAATCGTAACCTGAATGTTTTTACATATTCAAACAGCTAAAAAATTAACTAGTAGTTAGTTATTTAAACCGTTGTGTAACATTAATTAGCATCGTTCTATTAATAAATTGTCAAAGTCAACAATAAATCTGACCTTATATGTCTCCATTGATCTTTTAGTGGATCGCATGACTTGCGCCTTTGTTTTTCTGTAAAGAAAATAACCGGGCAACCAGACCTAGCCCTGGCATTTACAATATACTTTTACCATTATCACAGGTTATAGATCTAACGAGAATATCACAAGAGCTTGCATATCTGGCTAGTGATGCTGACATTGTCATTTTGGAAGGCATGGTAAGCTGGCCCAGTGATCCTGTGATTTTTCTTGCACTCTAATTATTTTGCTCTTTTCTTCTATATAAAAGAAGACTGCATGGATTTGCCTCGCATTTTATGCATTTGCCTCTTTTGCAGGGCCGTGGAATAGAGACTAACCTGTATGCTCAATTTAAATGTGACTCGCTTAAGATTGGGATGGTAATTGACTTCAATTATATTAGGCCTTAATGATAAAACCAATGAAAAATGAAATTATTATGCTTATATATGTCAATATGTGTGTGTGCCAGTTTCTTTAACTAAAAATCCAGCCTGTAAATCTTATGACCTCAGGTGCTTTGAGCTTTTGGGCTAAATTATTAACTACGGAATACTATGGAGCCTTAATTTGCATTCACGTTTTTATGACCTGCTAATTTTAGTCCCACATTGGTTATACTAAAGACAACCTTTATATATATAAAAACTAATCTTTTTCAAAGTTAAATCCAATCACAAGGCATCACATAATGGAGCAATGAACTCCCATTTCTGACAAATTCAAATTTCTACTTTCAGGTAAAGCACCCGGAGGTCGCTCAGTTCCTAGGGGGGAGGTTGTATGATTGTGTCTTCAAGTACAATGAGATTTTGGGTTAAACATGCTACAACCCAGTTTTATGTGACAATCAGAAAGAATAAAACACAGGTTGCAGTTGTGGTGGATGCAGTACCCTGGGAGTCCAGCTGAGATGGCATTGCACTTCTGATCTCTATATATGGAGATCGTGCTATTTGATTGATGCATAGGCTGGGGAAGATAAGCTCAAATAATCATAATGATACATTTTTCTTTATTATTACGATCATACTTGTTTGGGCGTCCAATTTGTAGTGACCAGGGTGGGGCAAAAGAAACTGCAATGACAAAATCTGTGCGGATTATTATCTTTTTGGAACTGCATTTTTGTGGTGCAGTGTGGGTGTTACACCATTTAAAATCATACCCCTAGTCTAAATTGCATAATGAGTTCTTTATTGTTGTATGGAGTATTATTTTGTGTGGTTCATTCCCATTTCTTACTAGAAATTTGACATATGACGGTTTATATCTTAAAATACTATTGTTGTGTTTTCAAAAAAAAAAATACTATTGTTGTTTATTTATAATTTGGACATAGTGTTTTGATCATCTAGATTTAGCCATTTTGGTAGACTATGTAATTGTTGGTTCTTTTACTCAAGTTTCATGTACTTTGAATTTAAAGTGTTTGACGAAGATGTGAAGTAAATATTTTGCATGCTAAATGTTTGGAGGTTTGATTAGTTGAGCTAAATTATATTATCCTCTTATAAAACATTTGGCGTTGTCCCATATAAAACATTTTACAATTAGTAAAGTATTACTCCCTCCGTCCCAGAAAATTCTTCCTAGTTTGACTTGGATCGGAGTTTAAGAAAGTGGGAATAAAGTGGAAATGTGTGGTTGTAGTTGTGTAAGAAAAAGGTGAAATGAATGTGAGCCACACAAATAATCAAAAAGGTGAAGTTGGAAGAATTTTCTGGGACGTCCCAAAAAGGAAAGTTGGAAGAATTTTCTGGGACGGAGGGAGTATATATTAATATAAAATAGTGCAAATTTTTGAATTTTACATGCAAGGTAATTTTGCATGTAGTAATTTTGTGTGTAAAGTTTTATTGAGTAGTGTGTGCGGGCGTTGGAGTTGTGGAAGTTTGTGAAGAAGATGAAAGAGTTAGAGAACGAAGAAAGGAGACAAAGATGAAGGAATAGGGACGACGTCGGCGACCGGTGTGCAACAAAGGCGGTGGGCAGTGGTGGACTTGGGCCGGTTCGGGCCCAGGTCGGGCCTAGGCCCGATCGGGCCGCCGGTTAGGAAATGTTGGGCCCGGGACCGGCCCGGGTAGCCACCGGGTCTGGTCCGGGTCCGGGCCGGGCCTTGGGCCTCTTACATTTCCCCCCCTTTTTCTAATTACCCCCCCCCCCCCCCCCCTCCTAACCCCCGACCCCCCAAACCACCCCAAATGGCCCAAAATACCCAACCCAACCTGGGGATTTTAAAAAAAAAGTTGAAAAAAAATAAGCCCGGAATCGGAGCCGGACCGGCCTGGCCGGTTCATGTTTTGGGTGACCTGAGCCCGGACCGGAAACCCCCGGGTCGGGCCTACCCGGACCGTTCACTGGTCGGGCCACCGGGTCAGGCCGGAACAGTGCCGGGTCGGGCCGGGTATCGGGTCACCCGGCCCGAGTCCACCACTAGCGGTGGGTGGCCGGTAGGAGGGTAGTATGGTGGGTGGGTGGCATGAAGGCAGTATAGAGTATAAACTGTAGCGGCTCTGGAGATAGTTGCGGTGTTTTCCGTCGAGATAGATGCGGACGAATGGGTTGAAGTTGAACGAATAGGTAGTAAATGGTATGGATCATTGAAGTTTAATGGGCAATCAGTAATTAAATATGGTCACTTTTTTAGAAAAATGATAAAATGTACTCCCTCGGTTCTCTATTAAGTGTCTCCTTAGGCTTTGACACTGATCTCAAGAGGAGAATAACAAGATTAATGTAAATGGCGTAGTGGTATTTGTTTAAATGAAAATGTAAGAAAGAGAAAGAAACAGATAAGGGTAATAATAGTGGAGATATAAATGTGTTTTGATTAAAAAAACTTATCAAAAAAGAAAGATGAACAAATAATTAAAAACGTCTCAAAAAGGAACCGGAGACAATTAATAAAAAACGAAGGAAATAATATTTTTGAAATTGGAAATTGTAATAGTAATATAGAGGTCATTATTACGAAATTCAATTGATGGAGGGAGCAAGGTGTAAGGTGTAGAGACTGTATACCAAACCCATTTCGCCGAAATTCAATTTGGGTGTTTTGTATTATGGGCCCACGAGTTTTCTTAATGGGATTAGGGTTATATTCTCTTTAAATATCCGCTCTCTCATTGTAATCATTATTAGAAAAAAATAGTAACATCCTGGCTTGGTAGTGCCCCCAGACATAGTCATTCTGGACGAACCGGGTAACCAAACTCTCGTGTGTTCTTATCGCTTTTCCTATTGTGTGTGTGTTTGATCCCTAACACGAAGTATATTTAAGCGCTCAGCTTACAATAATTTGGGATAGAAAATCATTAGGCATGCAAACGTTTCATTGTTTGCAAGCTCACTCTTCGGGTGTTAACATTATCATACTTTCTATTTTGGAATTTCAAAACATTTTTACTCATTATGTGTTAACAGTTTTTCATTCGGATAGTCTCAATTTTCATCAACCTAATAAGATGGATGGTCGAAACAATTTCTCCAACATAAAAACATGAAAGGTGTGACATTGAATATTCACAATTGCTTTCTAAATTAAAATTCACATGGAAAATCATCGAAACAAATTTAAGCTATTTTGCTTCTTTTTTGCATTTTTGATAAATAGGATAAATTTGTTACCCCTGTAAAATAGTTCCATCGTACTTCCTGCAAGTACCAGTTACTATGCAAATGCATAGGATCTCTGCAATTACTTGGAACAGAGCTACCCTCGTTATCTCCTAGTTAAAGTTTAATTTACATCATCTCAATTAACTCTTCTACTAGTGCTAGAAACCCTAAATAATACTCTCTCCGTCCCTAAAAGGAATGCCAAGTTTGACCGGCACGTAGAATAATAAAGTAAAAACTGTGTGGTAGAGATTTGTGAAGAGGAGAGAGAAATAACAAGGGCCACAAATTGATTGATTAAAATAGAAAGTGGCAAAGTTTTTGGGACAACCAAAAAGGGAATTTTGGCAATTTTTGTTCCCTAATTTAGAAAGTTAGAAAGTTCCCATGAGCCATCATAAGTAGTGCGTGCCCTAATTTTTGCCATACAAGATGTTTGCATTGAAGCTTGAGGTTTCAAACAGTTTAGTGTCTTGCTACCTCTACTTCCCGCCCGTGAACACTCTATCACTATTGAAACTACCTCACCCTTGGATCTATCCTTGGTAGACGTTCTTTTTCTAACCGGGAATCCTACAGTTCTACCATATTTTTTGTAAAACTCATACACCGCGTCTGTGCTTTCAAACTTCATGCCCACTTCCGGAACAACCACACTAACATCTTCTTCCTCGTCTTCCGGTGCATATGCATCTGTGAATTTATACACAAACTAATGAATATGTATACACAGACTAATTTATATAAATACAGACATTATTCATCAATACTATACAGACATTATCAAATGAAATACAGACAAGTTCAAAGAATGATCAAACCAATTAGAAGAACAAATGAATAAAAGATTATAAAATGCAGACATTATCAAATGAAATACAGACAAGTTCAAAGAATGATCAAACAAATTACAAGAGCATATGAATAAAATATTATAAAATGCAGACAATATTAGTAATACAGACATTATAATATGAAATACAGACAAACTAAATAGAGACATTAGTAAATGCAATGCAGACAAGTTCAAAGAATGATCAAACCAATTAGAAGAACAAATGAATAAAAGATTATAAAATGCAGACAATATCAAATGAAATACAGACAAGTTCAAAGAATGTTCAAACCTCTGACTATAACAAATGAATTAAATATTAATACATACAAACATTAGTAATTGCAATACATACAAGTTCAAAGAATGATCAAACCTTTGACTAGAACAAATGAATTAAATATAGACATTAGTAAATGCAATACAGACAAGTTCAAAGAATGATCAAACCAATTAGAAGAGCAAATGAATAAAAGATTATAAAATGCAGACATTATCAAATGAAATACACACAAGTTCAAAGAATGATCAAACAAATTACAAGAGCATATGAATAAAATATTATAAAATGCAGACAGTATTAAATGAAATACAGACAAGTTCAGATAATGATCAAACAAATTACAAGAAGATATGAATAAAATGTTATGTAATACAGACATTATAATATGAAATACAGACAAACCAAATAGAGACATTAGTAAATGCAATGCAGACAAGTTCAAAGAATGATCAAACCAATTAGAAGAGCAAATGAATAAAAGATTATAAAATGCAGACAGTATCAAATGAAATACAGACAAGTTCAAAGAATGTTCAAACCTCTGACTAGAACAAATGAATTAAATATTAATACATACAAACATTGGTAAATGCAATACAGACAAGTTCAAAGAATGATCAAACCTCTGACTAGAACAAATTAATTAAATATTAATACATACAAACATTAGTAACTGCAATACAGACAAGTTCAATGAATGATCAAACAAATTACAAGAGCATATGAATAAAATATTATAAAATGCAGACCGTATTAAATGAAATACAGACAAGTTCAGATAATGATCAAACAAATTACAAGAAGATATGAATAAAATGTTATGTAATACAGACATTATAATATGAAATACAGACAAACAAAATAGTATTATAATGACATTCTAAAAACGCTCTACGTATTATACCCACATTCTAAAAGAAGTCTATGAACTTCATAATGTTCCCAAATTTCATAATACATAAATGTCTACACACAGACATTTGTAATTGTCTACATACAAAAACAGACAACCGGTGCGTAATCACCTACCTTGCTCAGCCTCCACAGTGTTACCATCCAGTGCCCCTTCATCGCCTTGCATGGCAGCCGGAGTTTGTTCAACACCTTCCCTCCGTCGTATCTTCTCTGTCGTGTGTTCTTCATGATCTTGCATCCCTCCCTCCGTCGATAGTGCACACTCTTCCAACACAGCTGAAGTGTTAGCGGGACTCGGGCCGAAAATATCCTCCCATACCCACCCCAGTCCAGCTTCGTCGTCTCCGCCATGCATGTTATTAGCTTCCATGGAGTTCGTCGTCGCAGCCATGCACACTCGATCACCACCGGTAATGGAGAAGACCACCACTTTAGAGAAGGAAGATATCACAGACAACTCGAAAATAATGGGACAGACAATTCGTTTCCTGCGCAGCACATTTACGTTTGGAATGGAGGAGAGAGGGTGGGGGTTTAAATGGGTTAGAAAAGGGAGGGGGGGGGGGGGCTTTTTATGATGTGTAAGGTGGTGTGTAGAATGCTGTGTACACATAGCATTTTCCAAAGGGCAATGTCCCAAGAATTTGG